ATAAGTGGGGGTGGAAACAGACTTGACTTTGGGTGGCAAGTGCATGCAGTGTGCAGATGATGTTTTATTGAGTTGTACACTTGAAACCATAGCTTTATTAGCCAATGTCACCCCAATAAATTCAATAAAAAATAAAGTAAAAAGTAAAACGTAAAAAGAGAAATGTTTACCAACCTCCCCCACCCTGTAAAAAAAAAAAAGGGGGGATAGACTTGAAGCTACTTGGTAATTCAGAAAGTGATATTTCCTGAGATGGTAGGAGGAAATAGGTTCTACCAAAAAGAGCAGGGACTGATTTATATAACAAGAGGAATTAGAAAAGTACAAGGATACATAGAATAATGTATGTAATTTTTGTAACAAGGCACACCGGGGCTTCTCGTCTGTGAGCATCTAAATCTCTGTAAGGTAGCAGGTAAGGTTGTCTGCTGTGAAGGGTGGTTAGTCGTGGGTTATGGAGTGTGTGTGTGTGTGTGTGTGTGTGTGTGTAAGTATGTTGGGAAGAGGGCCAGAGCTTTAACGACAGTGGGAGAGTTTTGAAATAGCCATTGTGGACAGTGAGAGATTGAGTTGATTAGATGAAATAATGGAATTACCAGGTAGTGCTGAGGCCTAGCTGAAGTTAGTGACTATGAATTTATCACAGTAAAAATATCCTTGCTTCATTTACTTGTTCACTCACCAAGCATTTATTGTTAGTACCGCTCTAGGATACAACAGCAAATGGAACAAGCTCTCTATCATTATAGGGTCCACATTCCTGCAGAGGAAGACAGGCAAGGATCACATAACTAAATGTACCATCTACATCATGTTAGGCGGTGATAGTGCTGTGCAGAAACATCATGGAAAGTTCTGGAAGAGTATCTGTTACACAGGGTAGTCAGGGAAAGAGACATTTGAGCAGAGACTGGTAAATTCCTGGAAAGAATATTTCAGGTAAGGAAATACCTGCGAAAGGTAAGTGCAAATGTCCTGAGGCAGGAAGAAGGATCAGCAACGAGGTCAGAGTGCACCATGGTGACTGGGGACACGGGAAGAAAAGACAAGGCCAGCGTGGAAACTGTGGGCCAGATCACAGAGTGTTCTAGAGCGTGGAAAGGACTTGGCTTTTCATCAGACTGAGATGAGAAGCCACTGGAGGGTTCTGAGCAGAGCACGCCATGATAAATGTTGCAGGCTGGGATCTGTCTCCAGCTCAGCTCAGCTGCCTGAGTGCAGAGTTGGAGGAGGTCCAGGGCTCGGTGGCAAGTACAAGGAGACAGAGAGGCATTGAGCGTAGCTATTGAACTCGTTGACTCCAGAGTCTAATTTGGGTCAGGAAGGACTAATGACAGGTAGAGGCCAGTGGATACAGATAGGATAGAATTATCAGCGACTTGAGGCTCATGAGGACAAAGGATGGTCAGACAAATTAGTAAGAAGCAAAGGAGACTGGTCAGAGGGGGATGTGTGATGTTATTTATTTCAGAGGTACTGCAGCTTCCTGTGACGCCGAGACCCGCGTGTAACATGGGAGAGAGTGGGTCAGAGAGAGTACAAGGAAGGGAGAGCTGTTTGTTGAGTTTGACACATTTTTATAGTTTAATATTTCGCTTAAGCTGAATTTTTCCATTAAGCAAACACTTCAGAAATGTTCTGAGGTACACTGGAAACCTTGACAGGAACATTACTGTACGAGTCCTGTTTAGAATGTTTTAAAAAGAAGGTTTTCTTAAGTGGTATCCTATTGAAATGACACTGATGAGGGAGGTGTGTTCAGTGTCGCTGAAGCGGGAGTGGGCGAGCTGGGAGGTGGCTACAGTGTTCTCGGCACTGTGTAAGTGGCTCGCAGCTGGAAAGTTTGAGGATTGCTAAATTCTTTTTATCATACGTGCTTAAAAAGGAATTAATTGAGACCACTTATCGATTCAGACTCGGCGGATTCCTGAATCATCTACAGAGCTTTTTCAAAATGCAAGCATCCATTTCCCACCCTGGACCTAATGTTTCAGAATTTTGGGGGGATGAAGCCCATGTATGTTCACATATTTATATATAAAGTTCAATGGATTATGCATAATTAGAACTGAAAAAAACCTTTGGAACAATGCTTAGTGGACTGTCATTGATTTTGCCTGCACATATCCGTGACCTTTTTCTGGTCACAGTGATGGGCTGTGACTTTACCCTGGGACACCGTCCCTAACCCGCTCCTGGTCTGTGTGCTCTCAGCAGGGATAGCAGATTATCCAAGACTGAATGATCTGGGAATCGCATTTCTCTTTCTGTAGACACTGGCTTAGGAATGGCGCAGGACCTAAGCCAAGGAGATTTTTTTCCAATCAGAGCTAATTCCAGGACTTTTGCTCTGCTCATCGAGTCATTCTCTTGACCATGGGCTTAGACCTGGAAGGATGTAAGCTTGGAGTTGCTAACAGGCATCCTACCAACATGGGCAAAGCCTCTCTGATGGGGAGCAACCCAGAGGAAAGCCAGACACCAGTCCTGCGGACAATGCGGGCTGAACTGGGCCATTTGTTTTTTGTTACCCGAGCCTATATCCCCCACTCGCTTAGGTAGTTTGAATTGGGTTTCGTGTCCCTTGCAGCTTAAGGGTTTGATACCCAGAGGTTGGAGTCTTGCCTGCAGGGCTGCTAGGTACTCGGCTCACCCCGGGTCATGTCACTGCATCGTCTCAGGATTTTACCCTCTGGCACCCTGGCTCTGGATCGGGCTCCCGTGGCAGTGAGACAAGAAGGGAAACCAGGTCGAGATGGGAAGAAAATGGATTCTTTGTGAGATTATAGTCTCAGGAGACCCCTAGACAGGCAGCGACTGCTCAGCTTCTCTCTAGACCCCGTTAACATGCCCAAAGGGTTGAGGAACATGTGGCCAAATGTCAAAAAGAGCTCCCTGGGATTGAGGATGCTGGAAGTGGGTGACTCGAACATTATGATCTGAGCTCAGGTGTAAGATACGACGTGAGCCCGACATTAAACATACTTCTGTGTTGGCGTGCTTCCCAAATTCTCCACTCTCCGCCTTTTCCCAGCGGATGCCCACAGGTTATTAACAGTTTGTGGAATAAAGTGCTGAGCACTCGGTGTTGTCCCAAGACAAGGAATCACTGCAGTTCCTAAGGTTAATTTTGAAGAAATCAAGTTTTTCTTGCAAGAACTATGATACTATTGCCTCCTCCTTGAGCTCCTTGCTTCTAGTTTGTTCTTGAATGTTTAGCTCCTGAAATAGCAGAAGGACACAATTAGGAGACACATTAGGTTTTAAGTTAGTCTCAGGCTGTAAGGAGGAAGGAGATTTGGGGAAATCTCCTTGTGCGCCTAGTGTCTGCTATTTACAAGGTAAATGGCTTCTCATCTCCTGGAAATGCTGGATGCTATCATTTTAGCGCCTGTGGAAGAAATCGCTGTAACAACTTCTGCCCTGGACAGGCCCCTGCACATTTCATGGTGCAAAGTCCACGTCTTCTGCATTGAAATGCGAGGCACTAGATGAAATCTGAAAATGCAGCCCGAAAGAAGGCTTGGTGTAGTTAATACCCTTTTATTTCTCTTGAAAATGGTATAATCTTACGACTTCTGGGGAAGGTCACGTTTAGCTGCTTTTCTCAAATGTCACAATCATTTCAGAATCCGGCAGAAATACCATTTGGGTATCGGTTTTCTTCCACGAAACAATTTTCCCTAATAACCCGAAACTCCCTTTGAGCAGCAAGGCCTAACTTTCTTCGATACGAACGTGAAACTCCATTTTAGGGGGTGAAATAGCAAAGGGTGATTGGTGCTCAAATCCAGGGAATGTGGGCTCAGCTATGCGCCTCTTTTTCTTCTTCTTTGTTATTATTTGTAGCTTAAAAGTAAAATAACCAAAAAACAAAGACAAGAAAACACCAAAAATGTGCTAATATAGGAACACTTTAAATGCTCCCTTCCTTAGTACTAAACGTGCCCCGGTTAGGATGGAGCGCAGGCCCGTGGAGTGTGGAGACCACTTTCATTTGTCACTGTCAGTGTAATCACAGAGGTTCTAGGGGATTCTGAGGGTACATCTCAGCATGATTAAAACCGTCCTGATTCATGCTCTGTCTGTGAGCAACGAGGCCCTCTCAGCTGAAAGCTCAAGGTTATTTCTCGCATTTAAAACTCCAGTTCAGGGCAAGAATAAAGCTGTAATGCAACATTTGAAATGCAAAATCCAGTCAACTAATAATATTTTTAACTTCAGTTTCTCTACCCTCGATAAGGATAGACATCTGTGTAAACACACACACACACACACAGGCACACTCTCCATCTACCTTAGGTTGGTGTTCGACAGGAATACACACACATACCTGCATGCATGTCTTTGGGAAAGTAAATGCCTTATGTTTTATAAACAAATAAATTAATGATAATTTCTTGTATATCAGGGGCTCCACCTCGAGCGTCAGCAGCATTCTCTCTGGGTCTAAGGCATGTCTGACCTCACCTAGAGTTCTTCAGAGAAGGGCTTGCACAAATGATTACTTGCACAAATGATTCTGGGGTCCCCGGGAAAGTGTACATCTTAAGGAAACTGCCAAAACCTCAAACAATGATAAGTACAATATCTCAGGATTGGGGGGGAAGGGGTGCTTTGAGTACAATGCACAGTTTCCTTGAAAATTGTCCTCCCGCTCAGCAACACCTTCCTTCCCAGGGATTTGGATGCCAGTCTTAGACTGAAGATGACGTTGTTTCTTTCTTCTTTTTAAAAGCTGTTTTCTAATGGTCTCAGTGAATTATCGCGAGATCATGAACCCAAGGCAGTATTACTCTGTAGTTTAAGTTTTAGCTCAAATGGGAGAAGGGGACTTTCTTCACCAAGAATAGCTGAATATTTAGATATAGACTAGACTAAGTAGCTCAAGATATGGGTTGAAACAGCCTCCTTCTGGGGCAAAGAAGTAGGACAAGGGCTCACCCTTCTGAAGACACCTCAGAAGGTGCCTCAGTAGCACTGGGGGTGTCACGGAATCCAGGCAGCGCATTGGCAGGTATTCATTTTTAAACCTTCAGCAGGCCAAGGCGGCATTGTGCCAGTTGGTGGGAAAATCTCACAAACATCTGGAGCCTGGGTGGGAGGTGAGAGGAGAGGAATGGCAGGTTCGATGTGTTTATGTAAGAGTCCGATCATCAAAAGCACAGGAACCACTCAGAGTTCATAAACAGGCAGGGTATTGTATTGACACAACTGCGAGAGGAAGAATTACTGTCTGTGAGTGCACGTAGGCTCCTGCTTGCCCTCCAAGGTGGAGGTGGCCTGGGAAATTTCTGCTCTTTCACTTTAAAATTCTTTAATAAAAGATGCATCTCAGCGTTCTTTGGACAAGGAGAATATGATTGTCTTTACTATTCTTACTTTCTATAGATTGCGTTATGGATAATTCCTTCAGTTTTTCTTTTAGTTCTGTAAGTCTTTCTTCAGCCATATCTAATATGCTGTTAATCCTATGCATTGAGTTTCTTATCCAAATAATTATATTCTTTACTTCCTGAAGTTCTGGTTTAACCTCACATGGCCTTTTTATAGTACTAGATGCAATCTGGCATCTGTTATTTTGTGATTTCTGGCTACAAGCATGTAATCCTTGGAACATAATTCTGGGAATTCTTTGAGACCTTAGTTGAAATTTCACTTCTTTGGAGAATTTGTGATTGTTTCTGGGAGAAGTCTTGGATCAGTTGAAATTATATTTCTAGCTTATGGGTCCACAACCCCCCCCTCTCCCCCCCCAGACCACACAGACAGGGTGAATATGAACACGAAACATTATAAGGCCAGTCTTTGTATTTGTGAATTTTCATTTTATCTTTCTGTGTCTGATACAAAGATAAGTAGGCAAGTTTCCTTGCTGTCTTTTCCTACGCAGAGGGTAGAGTTCTTGCTCACCCAGTATGGATGTTGTAAACCTTTAGTGTTCTGGTTTTATGCCTGGGTCTATTATTAGAATGTCCACCTGAGTGGACTGGAGGTCCACTGTTTGTCTCTTTTCTCCAGAACTGTCATCTGATTTTAAAAACAGAAGCGTAGGACCTGCAGGTTTCAGCCGATACTGTCAGAGAGAAAGCTGACTTCCGCTGGCTCAGTGACTTGTTTAAAACTGTTTTAAAATACTTTCCTCTACATTTAGATTTGTCTTCATATATGTTTGTTCAGTCTCTGCCAGATGTCAGATGAATGTTGCTGGAAATTTTTCATCCATCAAGCTGGTCACAGAGTATATCATTTGCTGTCACCAATTGCAGTTTACGAAATCTTTTTCTTTAGTCAAAAGATGGACAGTTTTTATTATCTATATTATTATAACTCTGCAGTATAAATACTTAGAGAAAATATTTCTGACAGTAATTGAAAGAACCCTTTGACAAATTGTAACAGATAAGTATGTTATCTCTGCATTTATTTGGCAAAAAATAAAACCTTCCCTTCC